CCTTTCTCCCTTTCTTTGTTTCTTTATTTTTCTTTCTTTGTTCTTTCTTCCCTCCTCCCTCCCTCCCTCCCTCCCTCCCTCCTTCCCTTCTTCCTTCCTTCCTTCCTTCCTTCCTTCCTTCCCTCCTTCCCTCCTTCCTTCCCTCCTTCCTTCCCTCCCTCCCTCCCTCCCTCCCTCCCTCCCTCCCTCCCTCCCTCCCTCCTTCCTTCCTTCCTTCCCTCCTTCCCTCCCTCCTTCCTTCCTTTCTTCCTTTCCTCCTTCCTTCCCTCCTTCCTTCCTTTCTTCCTTCCCTCCTTTCCTCCCTCCTTCCTTGCTTCCTTCCCTCCTTCCTTCCCTCCCTCCTTCCTTCCTTCCTTCCCTCCTTCCCTCCCTCCCTCCTTCCTTCCTTCCTTCCCTCCTTCCCTCCCTCCCTCCCTCCTTCCCTCCTTCCCTCCTTCCTTCCTTCCTTCCTTCCTTCCTTCCTCTTTCCTTCCTTCCTTCCTTCCTTCCTTCCTTCCTTCCTTCCTTCCTTCCTTCCTCTTTCCTTCCTTCCTTCCTGAGACATGGTCTCACTCTGTCACCCAGGCTGAAATGCAGTGGTGCAATCATAGTTTGCTACAGCCTTGACCACCTGGGCTCATGCAGTTCTTCTGCCTCAGCCTCCAGAGTAGCTGGGACTGTGGGTGTGGACCACCACGCTTGGCTAATTTTTTGCTTTTTATTTTGAGAGATGGGGTCTCACTATGTTGTCCAGACTGGTTTTGAACTGGCCTCAAAATGAGTTCCCTGCCTTGGCCTCCCAAAGTGCTAGGATTACAGGCATGACCACCATACCTAGTCCCTTCTCTGGATTTTATAAATGGACCATATGTAAGGTTCTTCAGTATCCTGTCGTATTAGATCTGTTTTAAGGGCACCATAAAATGGTATGTTAGAAGAAATTAAAGTAAGGTGGGGCCATTTTTGGGGGCTAAAATATTTTTTATTTTTCTTATTGTTTTCCCTCAAGCCTCAGAGACAGTTTTAATTGGTGTTTTAGAAACTGGATGACATTTAAAGAAGTTGAGACTTCAGTCATAGCAGGAGCAGTGTTGGAAATAAAAAAAATAAATTTATTTATTTCACTTTAGACAGATGCCAAAGGTATCTCTTTACTCTAGTACAAAGCTATTTGAGAGACATTGAAAACTGCTCCTATCCAATGTTGCTTCTAGAGCCTCCATGCCATTCCCCTGCATTATTTACTGTGATGGGCACCCAAAATAGCATTAGCCTGACAAATACAAGGCATGGGGTGGGATTCAGGGTTGGGAAGGTAATTATCCAGCCCATGATGAAACTCATGCCTGAGTTAAGAAGGGGAGTTGAACTCCTTCTTCAGGCACCATTCAGATTGGAAGAGATTTCAGGTCATTTAATCTTGCAGTCTTTGGATCACTCCAGAAGAGATGAGAGGTTAGGTTGGCAATATAACCACTGTCTCTGAACTGCACTGGGTAAACAGAATTCAATGGAGTGAGGAGGCGATGGGGGTCGTATAGCTCATTTCCAAGGCCAGTTCTTGGCATCACTGTGAGAAAGAGGAATTTTTGCCCCTAGTATCCTCCTTATTCCATGCTTTTTATTGCCTTCTGTATTCTCTATCCTAAATCCAGGACTAGGGTGAGGCAAATGAAGCTTCTAGGGTAAAAAATGTAAGGGGTCACCCGCTCTCAGATTTGTTTAAGTACAGACTGCACTTGCATGAACTTGCCCCACCTTCATCCAGGCCTTGCTCCACCCACTCAGAACACCAGTATCCAGCTAGTGCACACATGTTTTTATACCCTATCACCAGAAAAACTATCTGATCGATGGATTAATTCATGCCATCATGTTGGAAGCATGCTGAGATACTCACTTTCAGAAATACATGTGCATTCAAAGAGGATTTCTGGAAAGGCAATATTTAACCCAAAGAAAGGTTTGTTTCAATGTCGGTGAGCTCTCCTTGGTATTTTTTTTTTTTTTGAGACGGAGTTTCACTCTTGTTACCCAGGCTGGAGTGCAATGGCGTGATCTCGGCTCACCGCAACCTCCACCTCCTGGGTTCAGGCAATTCTCCTGCCTCAGTCTCCTGAGTAGCTGGGATTACAGGCACGCGCCACCATGCCCAGCTAATTTTTTGTATTTTTAGTAGAGATGGGGTTTCACCATGTTGACCAGGATGGTCTCGATCTCTTGACCTCCTGATCCACCCGCCTCGGCCTCCCAAAGTGCTGGGATTACAGGCTTGAGCTATCGTGCCCTGCCCCTCCTTGGTCTTTACTAAAGCATTTCTTGTTTGTGTCATCTACTAAAGCATTTCTTGTTTGTGTCACCTCAGTGAAATCACAGGCTTCCTCAGAGAAACTTCCGAATATTCTCTGTGGTTTCTACTTTGTTTTGTAACCAATAAAAATAAATTAATATGTTGATTAACTGAGAGCCTACAGGTAAAAGTTCAGATATCAATGAGGGACATATTTTTGGAATGAGGTCCTTCTTGAGCTAAGGTGTGCATACAAATAACCATCACACAGGATAGAAAATGGAAGCTATAAGAGATGCTTCCTTCCTTTGGTAGGAAGAGGAGATCATCCCTGTACTGAGGAATCAGGGAATATTTTGTGCTAGAAATGGGACTTTGACCTAGGTCTTAAAAAATAGAATGGGACCTATTCTTCAGGTGATGGCAGAGGTGAGGGCATGGGCATTCCAGGCAAGTACAACAGCATAAATAGAGGCATGGAGACCAGAAAGCATGAGGTATATGATGTGGAATAAAAAGAGGTTCCATGTGATCAAAGGGAGTAATTCATGGATGCAATAGAAAATAAAGTTGGAAAGAAATGTTGGAGGCAAATTATGAAGGACCCTGAATACCATTCTAAGAGCTATGGACTTTAGGAATAGAGAGTAATATGACCAGGTTGAGCATATTTAATTTGAAGAACAAGGGAAAGGTCCCATTCACCTGTAACATGTCTTCCTTCAGCCCATTAGAGCTTAATTTGAGTTTCCATTGAGATGAGTGCATTTGGAGTAATAGTTCCTGTGGGGTTGACAGCTTAAAGTAGTTTACCTTTAAGTAGTACATGTTTACCTTTAAGTATGGTACTATGTTTACCTTAAAGTAGTACAGTGGCCACTTTTTTTTCTAATAACTCATGAAAGTTAGGCAACTGGGCTACATTTATAGAAAGAGGAGCTGCCCACAGATGGCAGGTTTTAACAGGGCTCTCCAGGATGGTACTTGGGGCAACAGACTGGTACCAAGAAAATGGCTACAACACAGGAGGCAGCTGTGGGATAGGATTTACCAATGCTGTTCACTAATTTACAATCCACAGATCAGTTTCACCTCCAGTATTTCATTCCGTCCTCACAGGAGCTTCTGGAGGGAGGTGAGACAGTGATTACTTTATGAATAGGACACTGAACATCACAGAGATCATCTTTCTTGCCCAAAGGTGAGCTGACAATATTTGGATTTGAGCCTAAGTCTCCAGAATGTAATTGAACTTTTCACCATTTTGCAAGGCTCACCTATTTCATACTCTTGCCAAAGGTCAGCCCTTCAGGGAGTTAAACCTTTGGTTCTTCCATTAAATGTTATCATATAACTGAGACTGTAACCCTCAAGGCCATGGACATTGACACATCTCTGAGAGACAAAATCAAGGAGGTCAGCCAGCCCTGGCTCTTGACCTTCCTTCCATCTTTGAACTTCTATTTATTTTCTACTTTTCTGTGGATTTTCAGAATAAATGAAGTATAAAGAAAGGATATAAGTTATTACAGACAGCAAAAAAGGTATTATTATTTTGATAAAATGCTGAATTTTTAATATTGCAATTATCGCCTAGACATGTTACTGGTACTTGTAAGGAGAGGACTCTGGGCCAAACCATTGCTGGAGTCCTTATTGTGCAAGTTATTAATGCTGCATGGCTCATATGCTCATTGCTCCCAAACCCCAAGAAGCTCATTTCCTGTTGGGTTTCCACTTTACACTTCTCTCCATGGAGACTCTTGCTTCCTGAGACTGAAGCTTGGAGCTGGGAACAGATGCTTGGGGCCCTCGTGACAGCCCCAAGGGATACTTCAGAAAGCTTGCAATTGGTGTGTCAAGGAAGAAAGCCCTTTGTTAAGCTCATCCTGGCACTCAGGGAGGCAGAGAGGAAGGGATTTGCCAAAACAGAACAAAGCAGTGACGCACACAGTAATAGATGGACTGTTTACACCCAGGTCTTTCCCATTAGGTCTTTACAACAACCTGAGAAGTCAGGCAGGATGGATAGAACCTTGAGGAAACTGAGGCTGGAGAGACTAGGTGCCTTTCCAAGCCATTTGGCTGGAGGACGTTGAGGCTGGTATATGAACTCAGAGCACCTGAGCTGGGTCTGTGTGCTTTCTGCTACATCACTCTGCGTCTCTAGAGAGTGGAAATTGTCCAGACTCGTAGAGCATTCCTGTCCTATTTCAACCGCCTATGGCTATTTTGTTTTGAAACACTGTCAGGGTAGTTCTAAGCTTAGAGGTTCAGCTCTGGTGTGTACCATCTCTAAGAAGCTCTCCTTTTTAACCCTTGCCTCTTGGTCTGGTTTAGTTGTCCCTCCACTGTGGCGCCACCCTAATCTTTACCTTAATTGTAAAACTTACTACTTTTGTTGACTTACCACTTGTTTATATACTTGGTAGCAGCTAGGCTGTAAGTTGCGCTGGATCTGGGTCATATTCTCTGTCTCTCCCTGGTGCTCAGAACAATGCCTAGGACGTGGTTGGTGGACAATACAATGGAAATGGAATGAAATTAAGCCAAATAGTAGAAGGTAACTCCAACGACCCTTGTCCAAATCCTTTGTTCCTTCACGGAGTTAGACCATTCTGTCTGCTCAATTTTCATGTCTCCTGTGAAAATCTGTAGCTCCCACTCACCATGAGGCATGAGTGACTGAGAAGGCTGAATACCGGGTCCCTTTTTGGGGTGTTTGCCAGTGTAGAATTTCCAGCACTGGAAACTCCAGTTTTTGGTGGTGGTGATTGCAGGGGGTGTTGGAGAAGGAAGGCTGTTTCCTTGATGTACCCTTGCAATGCAAAGTGGCCTGGTGAAGGGTAGCATCTCTTACCTGTAAGAGCACGGGGGTGCATCTGTCGGAGCCCAGTGTGAGTGCATGTGAGTGTGGATGCTGTCATGAATCCTTGAGCTCCTACAGCGAGAGGAAAAAAGAGTGAAGATCAATCACACATAGTCTACGTCTCCTTCCCAGGGGTAACGTCATTAATGAAAGGGCCCCAGAGGGAAGACACCAGATGCAGCTGGAGCCAGTCACCTTCCTCATGCCTCCCTCTCCTCAGTCCTTTCTTCCCTCTGACACAATGGGGAAGGCCCTGACCAGAGATTGTATCTGTTTTGAATTTGGGAAATGATTTAATCAGATCACCATCGAGCTCCCAAATGAGACCAATAAACTTCTACACGCAGAGGGCCACGTGGGCAGAGAGAGCAGGATGGAGGAGAGGACTGAATAGATAACCTAGGGCAGAGAGCTTGGCACACCATTCCTTCACTCCCCACGGCACCATCAAATTGGAATGCCCACAAAAGCCTGCTTAGGTCATTCATTCCACTGTCGTAGGCACACACACTCTCCTGGTCACAGGCACATTTGTTCACTGTTGGTTCACACCATTTGGTGCATGCTCTCTCTGTGTCGGGCACTTTGAAGAAGGCTGCATGGGGCAAATGTGCTGTGCTGTCCCAGGATGCCATCTGCACCTCCGTTCCTGCCACTAGTCTCATCTTTGCTTAGGTTTTAAGCTCCTGAGGGCAGGATCTCAGTTCCAATAATCTCTATCTTTCTCTAAATACCTAATTCTATACTTTACCCATAGATCTTAATATATATTTCTTGAATGCATAAATAAGTTAATGAATAAATATTTCTTGAATGCATAAATAAGTAAGTTAATGGCCTCTACCTCTGAGTAGTTCACAGTCTATCAGGGAAGAAAATATCTAATTCAGTGAGTTCCAGAACCCTCCCGATTTTATGATTCTGTTTTTATGAAATAGCTACAATACAATGCAGAGTGCAATTCATTCCACACAAGTATATGTATTTTCACAGTTTTCATTCAACCAATTATTGAGTATTTGTGGTATTCCAGGCACTCCCGAATTACTGCCTTCTTTCCTCATCTCTTATTCAGGGTGCAGTATAGTTTAAGAGCAGTAGACACTGTTCATCACGCCTTGCTATGTGCCAGCCAATGCGCTGAATTCAGTGTAAATGATCTCCCTTAATCCCCATAACAAGACTTTGAAATAGGTAGCATTATTTTGCTATATTAGAGATGAGGAAAGTGAGGCTGAGGGAGAGTAAATAACTTGTCCGAGAGAGATGGTGTCAGTTACTGGCCTCGTAGGAGTTTAAACTCCTGTTTGACATCAATTGCTGGGTGTTGAATCACTCTGTCTGGGATGTGTATGGGCTCTAGGGCATGTCCTACATCTGATTCCTGGTTTTCTTTTCTTTGTTTCTCCCTTCCTTCCTTCCTTCCTTCCTTCCTTCCTTCCTTCCTTCCTTCCTTCCTTCCTTCCTTCCTTCCTTCCTTCCTTCCCTCTCTCTTTCTTTCTTTTCTTTCTCTCGCTCTCTTTCTCTCTCCTCTCCTTCTCTCCCTCCCTCCCTCCCTCCATCCCTCCCTCCCTCCATCCTTCCTTCCTCCTTTTTTTTTTGAGATGGAGTCTCACTCCATTGCCCAGGCTGGAGTGCAGTGACATGGTGTTGGCTCACTGCAACCTCTGCCTCCTGGGTTCAGGTGATTCTCCTGCTTCAGCCTCCTGAGTAGCTAGGACTACAGGCGCATGCCACCATGCCCAGCTAATTTTTGTATTTTTAGTAGAGACAGGGTTTCACCATACTTGCCAGGCTGGTCTCAAACTCCTGACCTTGTGATCTGCCCGCTTCAGACTCCCAAAGTGCTGGGATTACAGACATGAGCCATCGCACATGGCCTGGCTTCTTACTTTCTAGCTATGTAATCTTGAGAACTTCATCCTCTCTAAACTTCAATTACCTGACTTGCAAAACAGGGATAAAAACCACTACCTTGAAAGATTGTTGTGAGGATTATATAAGATAATCTGTGTATATGCCTGTCAAATAGTAGGTGTCAAGGCATGTGGCTTCTTTCTTTCTTTCTTTCTTTCTTTCTTTCTTTCTTTCTTTCTTTCTTTCTAATAAGGTAACTTTAAAAAAAATGAACTAGCAAATAACAACTTATCCTTCAAATCTGCCTTGTTGGATAACGCTTCTCTGCTCCTGGACATTCTGTAGCTTTTCCAGTCACTTTCAGATATTAGAAGTTTTATTTACAGGTATTAAAAAGGCCAGGTGGATCTAAATCAATACTTTCATTTCACATCCAATTTAAGCTTTTCCCTTTCCTCCTAGCTCAGGCTCTGCTCATGCTCAGTAGCCTGCGGTGGGTGGACAGCGGCTGTTTATTTCTTTAAGCTCCCTGTTGCATCCCATCCCGCTACTGGCCACTGCCTGGGGCTCCTGCAGGGCCGGCTTGGAGGGGAAAGCAGAGAGAAGGACACATCTAACTGGACTGATGCTACTGCACTTTGGTAGCAGGGGCCTGTGTGTGCTCTTTTGGTGCCCAAATACTGACTTCTTCCCTCATTGGGTTCTTTTGCGGGTCCTTTAAATGTTCCCTCACTGTTCTCTATCATGAAGACTTCTGGATGACCTCTGATGACTTCTCCTAAGCTCCTTCTCCAGGGTCACCCTTCCTGCCCCCAGCCTCTCTGCTGGGGTCACTTCATCCCAGCAAGCCATCCTTTAGGGCAGGATCCTCTTAGGATAACTCTAGTATGGCTCTTTTTGTGAACATCCCCTTAACCCAGGGAAAGCCCCACTAGACTCAGGGCTCCCAGGTAGCCTTGACAGGCAGCTCCAGCTGACCCTTGCCTTCTGATGCCAGGTGAGGATCAGATGCCAGTCCCTAATGTCTATGCCCCTCAAACTCCCCAGATGTAGTTTAGGCTCTCCAGTAGCTCTCTTGCTGCTTTGCTTCAGTCCGATGGAGTGAAGATTTCCTGCTCATTGCAGGTGGCCTGCACTTTCTAAACATGACTCTCTGCAAGACTGAGGTGAAGGGCCAGGACTCCTTATTAAGCTAACAATTCACAGGGAATCCAGTCTCTGAACTGTCCTTGATTTACCTGCTCTTATTTATGAAACTGAAGCAGGCGATGGGGTGAGGGTCTCACATAGAATTTTCCTGCGTAAATCCTGAAGATTTGTCTACGCATTCCCTTAGAATGTGTGGGCACATCATCATTTTTGTCAGCTGTGGAGCCACAGCCCAAACTCCAAGGCAATAAAAAAAAATCCGTTTAACATACTGTCATAGTTCTCATACCCAGCCTGCCTGCCCCCCAATTCTAAACAGAGTAAACAATGCACATCATTTTAACAAGAACAGAAAATGAAACACCGCATATTCTCACTCATAGGTGGGTGATGAAAAATGAGAACACATGGACACAGAAAGGGGAGTACTAAACACTGGGGTCTATTGGGGGGAAAAGGGGAGGGCCAGTGGGAGGGGGAGGTGGGGAGGGATAGCCTGGGGAGAAATGCCAAATGTGGGTGAAGGGGAGAAGAAAAGCAAAGCACACTGCCATGTGTGTACCTACGCAACTGTCTTGCATGCTCTGCTCATGTACCCCAAAACCTATAATCCAATAAAAAATTAAAAAAAAAAATAAAATAAAGACAAAAAAAAAAAAAAAAAGTCAAATGGAATTCACAAGGTTAGTAACAGACGAAAGCAGTTGCCTCTCCTATTCATCTTGACACCGTGTCCCATTTTCCAAAGGCAAACATTTCAACTTTTTCTATTTCTCTTGATAATTACATTTTTATTTCTAAATAATGTCCATGTATAACCACTTCTGGATTTAAAATTTTTTTACTTATGATTTATTGCCTTTTTGATACAGTTATTGCCTTTTTGATACAGAAGAAGAGAATTAGATCTTTCACTACTCTTGCTCCCTCCACCCTCCCTGCCATAAATATTTCCTTCCCCCAGTCTTTCTAATATAGGTATTTAATAATTTTGATTAAACAGCGTATCTGTTCTTGTTGCTATGCAAGTGTTAACTGTCAAGCTGTAATGATTACATTTCTGTTCTTGAATAACTTTTTGTTTTCCCTGGGATCAATCTTTGCTCATTTTGGTTGTTTGCTTAATACGTAACATACAAATAATTCATCTTCAGACTCCTTAACAAAATTATAAAACTCTCCTCAGCAAAGCTGAACACAGGAGGTAGTCTGTCCGTCCTAATGAGTTCTTCCTAGGACTATTACCTGCCGGAGCCTTCGACTAGCCTTGAACCTGTGCTGCTTACTCTCCAAGATTCACCACACTGCCGTGACCTTGGGATTTCCCTTCACTGTCATCCCAAGAAATCATGCCTTTTAACTATGTTAGATCTTCTGTTTCCTGGACTTGATACCTTTTTCTTTCTTCATTTATTTGTGGCTTTTTTTTTTTTTCATTTTGATGGCGCGTTGAGAAAGATTCATGGTAGTTCAGCTTTTTTTTAGACCTTGCTGAAAATATAAGACAGAGTGAGAGAAAGTTTGGCTGGCTATTGAAATCCAGGTTGGATGCTATTTATCTTTTCTTCAGGAATGTTCAATATATTGGTTTATTATCTCCTAGCTTCTAATATTTTTGTTGATGTATCAAATGCCATTTTGTTATCTGATTTTGTTTTTTATTATACTTTAAGTTCTGGGGTACATGTGCATATCTTGCAGGATTGTTGCTTAGGTACACACATGCCATGGTGGTTTATTGCCTCCATTCTGCTGTCACCGACATCAGGGATTTCTCCCAATGCATCTCTCCCCAACCTCCCCACCCCCCACTATCCCTCCCCTAGCCCCCCACCCCCAACACACCCCAGTGTGTGGGTGTGGTGTTCCCCTCCCTGTGTCCGTCTGTTCTCATTGTTCAACATCCACCTATTAGTAAGAACATGTGGTGTTTGGTTTTCTGTTCTTGTGTCAGTTTGCTGAGAATGATGGTTTCCAGATTCATCCATGTCCCTACAAACGACATGAAGTGTTTTATGGCTGCATTGTATTCCATGGTGTATATGTGCCACATTTTCTTTATCCAG